GGTTGCAACTGAGGTTAGCGGAAAGAACAGATTCCGTTAACCAGAGCCACCAGCAAACGGGTTGAAAACATTTCTTGGACACATCCTACGAAAGTCCGTAAGCAAAAGCGTGCGAAACCAGGTCGCATCTGCAGACGGTAGTCGTTGGAAAGGGTGAGAAATCAAAAACCGTAGAGTTCACAGAAGGTGAAGCCGTAGAGCGTTTTGTTTTTCTCTCTCGTTCTCTTTCTCTTACTCCCTCCGGCTCTGAGCGAGAACTTCCTAGTGTGAGTAGTAGCCATCACTAACCTAGATACCGAAAAGTAAAACATACGTATAATGGCTAGATAGTTTTCTCGACCCCGCACGACGACTCGATCGGTCCGAACATCGACGAGTCGCTATGGACCATCACCTGCGAGGATAGATTGGTTTAGTTGTGTCAAAAGACAGCCTCATTCAAAAGTATCACCCATAACAAGTATGCTCCGGAGCAAGAGGCACGTTTGTAGGTAGGGTTGGATCGTTTCACCCGAAACCACAATCTACCGAATCTGCGTTTGCCCGGCTCGCTTAGTACAGACTGGAGTGGAGAGAACGGACTGCTAGAGAGACGGGAGAGAACTGACTGCGAGCGACTCACCGTGGCTCGCTTAAGAGAGACTGAACTGCACTGACTGCATGGCTCGCTTAAGAGAGACAGGAGAGAACTGACAGCGCTGGTTTTGTGTCAAAAGTCTGTGACCCCGTACCCGACACCCCAACCGTGTGCCAGGTGCTGGACGACGAACGCCGTCGCTCTTTCGCAGCATGGAGGACAGGCCGGCGAGTTGAGCATGTTTGAAGGGAGGGCAGCCTGGCGAGTTTATTGCGTCTGCGGGTCACCTGACATGATTGTCGCCCGCACGCCTGACACGTTTGCGGCGTGCCTGGCTTGTGACTGCAACCCTGCCATGTTTGGACTGTACCAGAATTCCCGCGAAAGAGTTCGCCCCGCAGAGAGCAGCTTTTGTTGCTCGTGGTAAGTGTAGTATGAGAGTTTGGCTGGAGAGGCGACGCAGAGCATCGCTCGGCGTCGAGACTGATGCGTTGGGGAAGAGGCTTGATACGCCTGAGCGTAAGATCTAAGCCCAGCGGCAGCTGCGAAGCCGGACGCTTGCAGCGCCGCTCCAGAGAAGGTGGCGACGACATGTTTATAGGACAAGCACAGTGAAGGAGAACAATTGACTGAAACTGAAACCAGGCAGTTAAGTAAACCAAAGAAAAACACAGGGAGCGAAGGTGAGAAGCAAAACGTGAGGGGTGAGCATAAACACCGTCGAACCTGCAAGTGCAGGTGTGCACTGTCGCATCGTTGTTCGTTGTCGCTGCACTGTTTCAGTCCAAACCAAGAAGCTAGGTGCAACAACAGCAACATAAGTCGGTGTCGAAGCGGGAACGTATATGTAGGCCACAACAACAGCCATTCACACGGAGGACACGCATAGGTTTTTCCATCCCACAGAAGGTAAGTCCACGACAAGTAACCGAGCTCGCAATCACGGTTGCTGAGATCCAGACGTCACGGCAGCAAAGTTATCAGAGCGACTAGCTAGGGAACAATAAAGTAACGCAAGCAGTCACAACCTCACGTCGCTGTCGCTCATGGACCCAAAGAGGACAACCATGAGAAAGTGGTATGTGGCTGCAAATCGACTCGTTCGTGAACGAGCAACAAGTTTTGCCACGTGGTGCTGGATGTTTTGCACGGTTGCTTTCGGCGACTCGCCCACACGGCTTCGTCGTCGACAAAGCTGCGATGTCCGACCCACCACATCCAGCCTAGCAGTGCACGCAGGCAACCTGCACACACAATCGACCTACAGAATCACTGCGCTCACCCGCAGCATGACGTTCCTGCCTGCGTTTGTTAGTGCAGCTATGACAAAGTGGTGCGTGGTAGCAAATAAACTCGTCAGTGAACAAGACATAAGTTTTGCCATGCGCTGCTCGACAGTTTGGAGGATCAGTCTAGTCGAAGGATGCAGACGCAACCTTTGCCGAGGCGGGTGCCATGGCCGGCCCACCAAATCCGGCAGAGCAAGTCAAGCAGATAACAAGCGCACACACTGGACCCGCAGAATTCCGGACCGATACACGATGCTCACCTGGGGCATAGCTCTAGTGTCTGCGTTTGTAAGTGCTAATACTAATCGAATAAACCCAGTGTTTGTAGTCCACCTCTGCACTTGTGTCTTTGCGTGCCAAGCACTGCGAGCTCTGGCAAAAGGTCGGTGTCCGACGGGTTGGATCAAGAAAGCCCGCGTCGCAGGCAGAACGCGCTTGAAAGCACGGCGGCGGCAGACACAGCCTCTGCATAGGATGCAAGTGTTGTTGGCGGTGTTGGTGGTTTTGAGTCCCGGCACCATACACTGTGTTCATACCGTAGGCTACAACGACACTTCTAAAGCCAACAACATGTGGTGCGTCGCTCGCAAGCTCCGCAATCAATTGATGCGGGCACTGCATGGGAATACGATGCACCCAGCAAAAAGGAGGACGACAGAAAAGAAAGGTGTGGATAATGCAGCTTGCTCAAGCACTTACCCAAGCACGAAACCTCAGACTTCGATCCCAACACCTTGGAAGAAGCAGAAAAAATGAAAATGAAGCTAATGTTACACAGTGTGCTTTGTCGACGTCAGAACACAACCCGGCGCACAACCAGTCCGCAGAAGAAGTCATTGACTTGGATTTGCTGGCACAAGCTCGGATCGGATGCGACGTTACCAAAGTGCCCGGTGACGGATGGTGCTTCTTTCACGCCGTAAGTCGGCACTGCAGCAATTGGAAAACGTGGTCGATAACGCAAGCTGCGGAATTATACCTGCAGGCGTTGGAGTGGTTGTGCAATCAGAAATATGGTCCAAAGGCAGAAGAAGTTCAGCTTGCGTGCGTGCCCTTTGATGATCGAGAACTGGAATTGCATAAGCAGTATCTTCTGCGTGCGCACAAATCCAACCTGAGAACAGCAGATCTCACGAATTCGGAGATTGTGCTTTTGAGTAAACTAATTGCAGTGCTACAGAAACCGCGTGCCTTGGACTCCATCCACCATGGGTCTTTCGTCGAACTGTGGGCGCTCGCAGAGACATTTGATTTTGACTGCTTGATTTGGAGTCAGGACGTGGACCAGAACCTGTGGGTGCGAGACCAAGCAATTGTTAGCGACCAAGAAGCCCATGCAAGACTACAAGAACATCCACAAGTGTTAGAACTTCTGCACCGCCAAATCGGCGTCACCGGCCATTACGACATAGTGGACAGATCTGCGTCGCTGCGGCCGCCGTTTCCGGACACCACCTGGACACTGGAGTGGAAACGTGCCGGAGCTGACGCCGTCTTGCAGCGGGCAGCGGACACTCTAGAGACGCCTCTGCCACCCTTGCCGCCGCCGTGCGAGCCGCCGCAAAGTTCGCCGCAAGAGCATCGCTCACGCAGAGGAAGCACGGCGGAGCTCGACGGTGAGATCGACAGGCCTACCACACACGGCGTGTGCCAGGGCTCTGCCCGACCAGCGCGACGTCGCCGGACCGGCGTGCGCATCGCGCAGCACTTGCAGCCAAGTTGCGCGGAACATAGCTCCTGCAAGCACGAGGAGTTTGTGAGCTGTGACGGAGCCATCGAACAGGAAGACAATGTGGCCCCGCATCCAGCGACAGCAGCCGCAGCCACTGACGCACAGCTAATCACAGATACAAGATCCACCATGCAGACGGGGGCAGACGATGTCTGGCCACAGTCCACCGCAGTGGAAGAATCCGAAGGAACGGCCACAGACGTGGACTTGGACAGCGTGCTGTCGTGGGACTCCGAAACTAGTGAAAGGTCCAATGACGCAGACTTAGAAGCGGTCGTCGAACCACATAAAAGCTGGGTGACGATAGAGGACCGCGCAATAGACAGCGCCAAGCGCTTGGCTACGCACTTCCGGTTGCACCCTTTGTTGCCATGTGTGTTGAGTGACAAAGACTTGCAAACATTAGGTTCAAACTCTGGATTAGTGTATCCCGCAGTGCATTGTGCATTCGACGGCTGCCAGTGGGCTTCTGATGCGCAACCATGTCATCCCCACTGGTCAAAAGAAAAGGTGTGGCGCATAGAAGGCACTGCTTGGTCATACTCAGCCAGAGCCTGCTGCGGCAATGCTGCCACGTGCTTGTGGGCGCACCTGAAAGAAAACCATCACACAGTCTTCGAAGAGGCAGCGCATCGCGCAGCCGGAGGCTCGGCCGAGCTCGCAATTCCCAGCCAAAACGTGAATGCCTTGTTGCAGAAAGAAGATCAACAAGTGCCACAGGTCGGTTGGAGTGTGGATCGTCGAACCCTGCGACGACTGCAGAAAGAATTGCAGGAGACGTCGTGCGAAGCCTTGATATGTGCATGTTGTGCAGGCATCCATGCCGGAGGTGATGCTGGGGACATTGCCTATTTGTCCGCCGCGGAGTTGTTCGGCTCCCTGTCTCTAGAAAGCTTCACCTGCAACTGGAATTTGGATACATATATGAAGCAGTACGCCACCAGTGCTTGCGTCCGCACATGAATGGTCACGCCTTTTGCCTGCCTCTCTACACAATGGCCAAAAGATTGTGTGTTGCCCAGAAGACTTGCGCTGCACAGCTTGTGATGTAGGTAATGGGCAGCTTTGCGAAACATGTGAGCTTCCTATCTGTCACCAATGCCTGGCGCAGATGTTCGACCAACGTGTTCTTGCAGTTCCACAAGCTCTAGCCAATGACAACTGGTACGGCTACCCCACAGAGTTGTTATACAAACACAAAGTGCGGTGGATAGAAGCAGCCGCCGCTAGCCCACTGTGGACGTCCGTCGTCACTTACTATGTCGAAGCAGACAGAGGGCACCTGGTGGAAGAAACCCTCCACCGCGCGGAGCATCGAACTGCCGTTCGAGGTAATGTTTCTTCGTTTAGCTTACCTTGGGAAGAAGTCTTGGCAGCGTTCGCTCCAGAAGCAAACACTCGCATGCCGTGGACAAAGTTGCCGCACGAGCCCAAAGTCATGCAACAATTCGTCAAGATTACTGTGAAAGGCATGCTTCACAATGAGGCGATAGAGTGGGTGGCCGGCGCACGGATCCGACCCTGGGTGGTCGTTGCATTGTTGCAGCATTTGATCGACTTGCAGCATCCAATGTGTGACAATCACATCTCCCCGGAGAAAGCAAAAGAAGAAGTGAAACAACGTGTCACACAGATATATGGCACGGAAGAGACAATGCCGCTCGGGGAAGCCATTCCCGAAGACGTGCCTGTGGCCGCGCCACTCTCGTCGGCCCAAGCAAGTCCGAAAGCGCGACCCACCCAGTCTTCGCGCTCGCGTCCGGCAGCGCCAAAGCAAAGCCCACCAGCAAGTGCGCGGCACAGTGGCCAAGCTTCAAAGCCCGTTGCAGCGGCGCGTCCCGACGCAAAGCTGTCAAAGGTAGCCGTAGACACTGCAAGTGGCGACCTTGCACGCACCCCAGTCTCCAGCACACCAACCAAGCTCTCAGTTGTGGCCTCCGACAACGCCCAGAGCATCGCTCGGGGCGCGTCGATTGTTGTCGCAGCCGACGACACCCCGTGCATTGCCGTCGTCGAGGTCGAGGGGTCAGAGAAAACGAACAGTCAAACTCGGACGACAACCGTCGAAAAATACGTCCCACCGGTCGTGTCCGTTGCAGCGGTAGGTACTGCAAAAAACCTTGTCCGCAAGCATGCACTCGCCAACCAGCCGAGATGCGCCGCCGCAGAAGCATGCGACGCCAGAAACGGCGGCGGCCGCAGCGCTGGATGGCCAAGCTTTCACGGGAGTGCATCGACCAAACGTCCTATCCCAAGACTACGCAACTTCCGACTGGAGGGAGCCAGATCTAGAAAGGTTACAAGAACTTGCACACGCTGCCGATCAAGTCACGGTCGAAACCGGGCATACTTTTTTGGGATCAATGGCAAAACGATTTTCTACCATGGGCATTCCCATTCAGCCTTCCAGCACCTGTCAGTGGCCCAGATTTTCCCCACAAAACCAGACCTCGACGCCCAGTACATGCGCCAAACTTACATCCTCTGGCGCACTTGAAGTTGTTGGCCGGCCGTGTTGAGAGCTCTATTCGTAACTCCTGGGACTTCGTACCTGGTTTGCGACGGCTGACGTTCAAATGGCAATCAGTCTGCAATGGCATTCTCTGGCGAAAAAGACCAAGCCAAAGAGACTGCGTTCAAGCAACCCCTACCGCTTCGTGGGTGGAAGCGGCAAAAGGGCTCTATAGCAAGTTGCGCAGTGGTACGTACTTAACCGCTAGTGGTCAATACAAACCCATACACTTTGATACTAGAAAGTTGCCCTACGCCAAAGGCTTGACGTCAGAAGAGCACCACCTTTTGCAAGACGTTCGCAGCATGCAGAGAAATATGCCCGGAACCATAGAATCTCGCCGTCGCATCGGTCGATTTCTCTTTGGAGCCAGAGTAGAGCTGGGAGAACCTCTTTTCATCACAATTTCACCCACCTCACACCACAATGCGCTGTACATCAAATTCTCTCGATACCGACAAGCCGACCCAGGCAGCACGGTCTTCGGAAAGCGGACCTGCCCAGAAATATGGGAATCCGCCAATGCAACCATGTTCGTCCCCCCCTATGATACCAGACGGCAACTGACAGCCAGAGACCCGTGGGCCGTAGTTCTCAGCTTCCAAACCATTGTTCGTTGCATTTTCGCAAAGCTGCTCGGCATTCGCATGTGCTTTCGTTGTCCCGCCTGTGACTGCCGGGATGCCAGCGGGAACGGCTGCCATGTCACCGGGGGGTTGTTCGGCCTCGTGCGCGGCCTCTGTGGCGCCATCGAATATCAAACAAATTCGACTCCGCACTTTCACTGCAACGTCTACAGTGCATCCATTTGGCAGCAACCGCTCCACGAACTCGCGGAGAAATTGAACAACCGAACTATCGAGTTCGACGACGTGAAACACTTTCTCACATGGATACATCCAGAAACTCATCCTGACTACAATTTCCACAATGCACAGCAAGCAGAACTAGAAGCCGCCTGGAACGAGCACAACAGCCACGAAAAGCACGATTTTCTTTGCCATTGGCCAAACTTCATCCAAACAGATGACGCAAAGAGCCCTTGGTTGGATGACATGGCGGCTACCCGAGCAGTGCAAGAAGCCCAAACATTCATCGAGACCTACCGCCGTGTCGCACAAAGCAAAGTGAGCCATCAGCAGATACATTGGCATCCTTATAGCATTGTGCAAAAGTGTCGGTTACCGATCAGTGCTTGCCGCAAGAAAAATGCTCCCAATAAGTGTAAGCATAGCTTCCCGAAGGTGCAGAACGACCGCGGTCGAGTCATATGCCGAGGCAATGGTCGGAAATTTGGATTGAGTACTGCTGGCCGGAGAAATGCTTTAGGTACAATTTTGGATAAGCGAGAAGATCCTTGGTTGTCCGGCACAATGTATGCCTTTACGCTCATGTTGTTTGGCAACTCGCACACTGCGGTGAACTTTCGAGTTCCTCTGACTGCTGCCTCCCATGACGCAGAGTGTGCCCGCGGATGTCTCGCACACAATTTGCTCCGGAAGCTACAACGCGCCATGGCACAAGCAGCTCGCCGTTCCACACGATACTTCACAGGCTACTTGCAAAAGCCCCAACCATTGGGTCGGAAAGAGTTACAGCATGCAGCCAAACAGTTGCATTTCTTAGAAACCGCTGCCGCAGACGACCCAGCCGCGCAGCAGCGGAAAGTCGCACATCGAGTGCTTGGGGACCTTGAATTTCGTTGCTCCACCCGGCCCATGACCGAAGAATTCATGTTGGCCGGTTTCGCCACCTCCACCGAACCAACCTCTGCAGAGTGCATTCGTAGTTTTCCCGTAGTCCCCTTTGTAGGCACAGAATGGCTAAGCATCCTCGATAATTTCACAGAAACCCGTCAAAGAGTAAAGCCTTCCAACCCACACAGTTCGACCATCAAGTTTTCAGAAGTATATGGTTGGAGAGGTACAGATCCAAGAGTGTGGTTTTTATCTCCGTGGGAGTTTGTGAAATGGTGGACAGTGAAAAAAATTGCAACCACCCCATGGAGAAAATGCTGAGTCCGACACAGGTTTAAGTGTTTGGGTCAATGGGGCAGGCCAGACCAAGAAACCGGCCGACGGCTGGAAATTCGGACGAGATTTTGTCTGGAAGGATTCGTTGCCTGCTGCCCGGCGTGACACCGTTCTTCGCCTGCCGGAAATACCTCAGTGTCAAGCTGCGCAAGACCACTATCTTGAACGACGCCGCGAACCTTGCGTCCCATACCCCACAGTCTGTCCACTACCGAAGCCCGATATGGCACGAGAGGCCCAAGCTAGGTTGCTTAATGTTTACCTTCGGCCATGGACCTTAGACCTCCCTAATTCTACCCTTCACGTGCCCCACATAGCGGCACTAGACTTACCCTTTGCGGTTAGGAGCGCTCGTCGTCTGACCCGCATCCACACAAAGAGTGCTGCCGGCCAAAGAAGTCACCACGTGGCCTGGACAGAGTACGTCGCCAACCACATTGTTTCGGAGCATGCGGCCAGAACAATTCGCAATTTCATTGCAGCCACCGAATGTGATCCCGAGGAGGCCGACGCAATAGAGCCTCCGTCCAACCGAGACAAGGTGGAAGTGGATACATCTTGGGTCAGCAACGAAACCATTCATCGGCTAATCACAGGAGTCGGTTTTGAGTACTCGAAACGTTCCAGTGCCGCAGTCCATGAAATTATCGAGGAATGGAAAATTGACTCGGAAGACTGCACCGCATCCCTGAAACCCGTCAACACCGGCGTGCCCAACATCAAGCCAGATCACAGCCAGAGCATCGCTCACGCACATACCCAGTCACCTCGAGAGCAGTTTTTGACGTGGACATATGGCAACTTGACAGCAGAAGCCGCGGAAGCCTGGCTCACCAACTTGCAAAGTTCCAACGGCAACTGCCCACCCACCGCCGAACAACTCAAGTTTTTGCGTGCTGTCATCCAACGCTGTCTGCAAGAGGCCGCCGAAGAGCACGCGGGCACGGCCGACACCGAGCCCTTGCGAGCCATTTTCCATGGCGTACCGGGGGCCGGCAAAAGCCAAACCCTCAAGTGGCTACGCAGCTTTTTCGAGGACATTTGCCACTGGGAGCATCAGCATCAATTCGTCTTCGTAGCTCCACAGAACACTCAGGCCGCGCTCATCGGCGGTGTCACCCTCCACGCCTTCGCGAACATCCGTGTTCGAGCCAAAAAGGCCTCCCCGGGCAGCGCCCACACCACAGACCAATTCGTCAAGTATCAGCGTTTACGTTGGATCTTAGTTGACGAAACTTCGACCGTCGGTCTCGAAATTCTTGCCACGGTCGAAGAAAAACTTCAACAATCGATCCGAGACCGAGATACTTGGAAGCTTCGTCCCGGCGGAGAAAAACGGCCGTTCGCAGGTCTCAACCTGATCCTGACCGGTGACCTTTGGCAGTTCCCCCCCGGTGAAAGCCACCGCCATTTTCCAAAACCCTTTCGCGGAAAATGGAAGCTTTCAAGTTGCAGCCCTACAGAAACTGTTCTGGACACGCGGTACAAAGGCTATGCAACACCTATTCGAACTCACCAAAGAACAACGCTGCGAGGACCCATGGCTCAGTGTCGTCCTGCAACATGCGCGCCACGGAAGCATGACTCAAGAAATTTGGTCTTTTCTCCATGGATTTCCGACTTTGCACGCAGGCTCCTGGGACTTCAAAACCCACACGGTCGAGTGCGGCCAGACAACTTGCGCCGACCTGCACTTGCAAGCTGCAGCCCTTCATAAGCAACCGCTTGAATGCAAGCAGTGTCGAGCCGAACGCCAACGTCGGTGTCTTGTAGGCAAAGATCAGAAAAGCCCAAAGTTTCTCAACAATCCCTTTGTCCATGGACTCAACGCAGCGAAATACATTGCCGCCAACCTTCGTGCTCGCCAAGTGGCAGCCACCCGGAGAGAAAAACTACTCTGGATAGTAGCCCAAGATACACCACTCTTTCACATCGAGCCTCCCGAACTACCAGCCCGGCGGGAGAATTGGTTGCAACGCCACGACCAGTCCACAGGTGGCGTCGTCGGTTTGTTGCCCTTGCTGCAAAACATGCCCGTCAGGATCACGCAAACCTTGCCAGAACTCAAGCCATTTGGACTCTTCAAAAATACTCGAGGCACACTTTGGAATTGGACGCTACATGAGGCGGACGCTGCTGCAGCGTCGCAGAACGACGCAGATAACATCGTCCTTCAAAAAATGCCTCTAGCTCTGTACGTCCACGTCCCCGGGCAAACGTGGCAACAACATGCACAACTGCCACCAGGAGTTGCCCGCTTAGAAGCAGTGACACAAACATGGTCCCTGGAGACCAACGGTAAGGCCACAGTGTCTCGACGAGGTTTCCCACTCGCTTGCGATTTCGCAGGGACGGCACATTCCTTCATGGGGTCAACCCTCGAAGCCTGCACACTTGATCTCGGCCACTGGGACTCCACCGCGTCCCGCGAGGCTCAACTCAGCGGCTACATGTGCTTGTCCCGAGTCAGGAAAGCAGAGGACTTGTGTATAGCCCAACCCTTTTCCCCCAACTTGTTCACCAATGGGGAATTGATAGGCCCACACACTTTTCTAGAAGTTCATCGCGGCAAGCTCACTCCACAAGAAGCAAAGGCTCGATTCAGTCAAGACAAACCAAGCAAGAAAAGAAATCGGGACATCATGTTGTTTTGCCGCGGCTGCAGCCCACAGCCACATCGACAAGAGAAGTTACTGCCTCTGCGAGAATTTGTAACAGCATGGGACCAGGACGAATGGTACCAAGTCTTATCCGAAGGCATGTGTCGCCTATGTCTCCAATGCAAAGCTAAGCAAAGCGGAACACAACCACCCAGTCACTCTGCAGCGACGCATCCTTGTCCATATTGTCCCGAAGCCAGACCAGCCAACAAAACTGGCTATTGTTCGGAGTGTGTCAAAACAGAACGTTTAGCCTGCAGCCGATGTGACCAAGGCAAGAAAATCAAAACGAAACGCTTGACAGACTTCGACCCGGAAGAAGTCAGACGCAAAAAAAAACTAAAGAACTGCGACGCCTTCGCTGCAAAAAGTGTGCTACCACCCCTGTCGCAGCCACCTCCAAACAAGGTTTGTGCACAGAGTGTAATAAGACTGTGAGTGTGTCGCATCTCACGCACTATACTGCTGCGTCGCAAACGGGCCTGTGTCGCGCTTGTGTCGCCAACCAAGCGCGGGCGTCCAAGACCTGCGCAAACTGTGGCCAGCCATTGAAGGCAAGTCAAACTCCAGGTACGTGGTGCAAACCCTGTGCATACCCTCCTTGCACGGGCGGATGTGGAAAACCACGCCCTCAAGTAGGCAAAAGGCGACTCCACGCCAAGAAAAATCCTATTTGGCACTGTCCAGAATGCCAAGGCAAGCAAGGCCGCTGTGTTCGGTGTGAGAAAGTGGTCGCCGTTCCCAACCTTTCTAACTACACCGCCGACAACAACACAGGAACATGCAAAGCGTGTGTCGCTAAGCCTAAACTCTGTGGTAACTGTGCCAAACCCTTGCCTTCCACTGCAACAGCTGGGACATGGTGTGCCGCATGTGCGTATCCCCCTTGTCCAGTGTGTGGTCGTCCACGACCCGATGACAGAAGCTATCACGTCAAAGTTTTACCAACTTGGACTTGCGCCGAGTGCAAAGTGAAACCATGCAGCAAGTGCGGTCAGCCGCTAGAGTCCCAGGCCATAGCAGAGACCTTGTGTAGGCAATGCAGCTATCCGCCGTGTGAATCCTGTGGTCATCCACGGCCTCAAAAAAGTGGGTACCATGTCAAGGTTTTACCTTCTTGGAGCTGCGCAGAGTGCAAAGTGAAGCCTTGCAGCCAGTGCGGTCAGCCGCTAGAGTCCCAGGCCATGGCAGACACCTTGTGTATGCAATGCAGCTATCCGCCGTGTGATGCTTGTGGTCAGCCACGACCACAAAAAAGCGGCTACCATGTTAAAGATTTACCAACTTGGATGTGTAGCGAGTGCCAATCGCTGCGAAACTATCCCCCGTGCGACCAGTGCGGTCGGCCACGGCCACAAAAAAGTGGCTACCGTGTCGACGTTTTGGCTCATTGGATCTGTGCAGAGTGCCGCGATAACACCCAGCGTGGCGTGCCACGGAAGAGGCGTCGCAAAGTGTAGAAGCCTATGCCATGAAAGCAGCATGCGCAAGCTGTGACGTGCAACATACGCAGTCCACATCAGATAGAAATTCCACGTCAAAAGCCTAATGCACAGAACCACCCTGGGCAGCTCCATCTCACCCCCTACCCGAGAGCCAGCGCATCGCGCAGCCGCTGCAGCCAAGTCCGCAA